CAACGATTCGAGTTGTTGATGTTGTTTTTGTTATTGCTGTTCATGGTCAGTCTGATATAGATGGCTGTTGGTCAACCCATTCCCGTGGGGCTAATGATGTGAACTGTTTGCCCGAATGCCGCCTGCAATCACAAAAGTTAAATATATGCAGACCGCTGAACAGGCCAAAATCAACATCATTTAAATGCAACAACATTTTTACCCAGCAGCAACCAACATAACCATAACCATTTAAAAACACGCAATGCATTTTTTTGTAATTTTTTCTATATTTCAGTTTTTTTTGTTGGGATTTTTTATTATTTTTTTTGCTTTGTTCACAGAAATTCTCATCAAAATATCAAGTTACGTACAATAATAGTTGTCATACGTTGAAAAATGCCTTCGGTTTATACTTATACAAGAATAAAAATAACGTTTTTCTAATGTTTTGATGGATCTTGTTCGTCGTCTCCTCACTTATTCACGTTTAGCTGTTATTATTTGCTTCATTCTGCCGCAGTTATTCTTGTTTTTTGTTTTTGTTTTTGTATAATAAACTAAACCTAAGTACAAGAAATGTTCTCCTTCGATTTTATTTATATTTCATTTTTCATTCTTAATTTTTCTTTTATGTTTTTTTGTTTGGCGCGTTTCTTTTTGCCCAATTGTTTCTGCTATATTTTTCAGTATTTTGTTATTTTCTAGATTTCTCATATAATTTGTTTCCCCTTATAAAATGATTTCCGAATGGAGATGCACAAAAAGCCGCAACAAACAAGCCATAATAATAATAATTAATAATAATGTTTAATGATCAATAATTTTGTTTTGTTTTTTGTCGCTTTTGCTATAATTATATAATCTAGGTGGTTAAGGGGGCGCGGGCGAGGCTGAAAATATGCTAATTGAATTAAATTCTATTAATTATTCTCGCAGTTAATCAACTAATAATTTATGCAAACATTTCGAGTCAGCTGCGAAATAATTACGAGTTCAACTATTTAGCTGTATTTGTATATAGTTTTTTCCTTTTTTTTTTTTTTTTAATTTTCTGCTTGATTTGCGAAGCGCCGAAAGAAAAAACAATCAATAGTTAAAAATATACAACTGTCAAGGATTGTGTAGGAACCTGGAAAAGTGGGATCTGGGTTGAGGGGATGCTTGTTTTGTGAACTTAGCACACATCGAATGCACATCAATAATAGTAATAATTAAACACTGACAATTAGATTTTTTGCTATTTGCTATTAGCTAAGAATTTTCTTTCTGTTTTGCACAAGCATTAAATACAATTATTATTATTTTTTTTGTGTTTTTACTCTTTTGATTCACTTACTCTAAAAATGTATTTTTCGTTTGGTTTTTCCTGTGCCGAAACTTGTGAATTTATCCGTTTTTCGATTTTTCATTTTATATTTTTAGTTTGGTTTCTTTGCTTATCGTTTGATATCAATTACACTGCCTTATGATTACAATTATAAATATATGAATGCATGCCTGGGGTTGCGATCATGTACAGAGAAACGAGGAAGGGCTAAACTGAGTTATCTCGTAAAAATCCTAAGTAATCACCACTTGCTGCCATATCCCCTGCCCCGCTGAAAAATATTCTCAATCAGTAACCCCTAACCCTATATACGAGCATGACCTCGCCTCATCTGCATTCCATCACCATTCTAGCTTTAGTAACCGTTCGTGCGTTTCGTAGCTCAAATAAAACGAACTTCATTAGTTGTAATTTATAATGCTGTGCCTTAATTTGTAGATGCTTTGCATAATCCTTTCCCGAAAACTGACTCCCACTCCACGACTCTCGACCCTTACGACAGATACACATCAATTTAATTCACATACACTCACTTTACACACAACTGCCACGTAAATAGGTTCGCCATACGCTTTAAGTATATTCTCTTAATGCCATATATATATATATTTATATACTTTTTTTTTTAATGTAGTTTACTTTTGAGTTCATTTAACATTAAACTAATTCATTTCACTAAACTATACACAAAATCTTTTACGAGTTATGCCCTTATTTGCCTACATAAAATGTTTTACTCCTTTTCCTCCCCATTTACCCATCTCCCCCAAAGTCCCCCTTTCCCATCCTCATTACCAGTTTACCGACTCTATATATATATATATATATATATATGTGTGTATATGTATATGCTTTGCTCCTTCCATATATTTCTGCTATACTAAGCTTGGCCCTGCGCCATTTAGTCTACTCTTAAACTAAACGCTTATGATATTCCGCTCTTGAGTGGGGGGCAAAACTGGGTTGGAAGAGTTTGGAGGGGTAAATGGGTGGCGGGGAGGAATGGGAAAATTGCTAAGCACATTTGCAAACGAAACTCTAAACGAAATTAAAATGTATTTACTCTAGTTTTAGTATACTTTATTTATTTTTATGTGTGCCTCTGCCTGCCTGCCTCTGCCTGCCTGCCAAATATTATCCTGCCCTGCGACTTCTGACTTCCGGTTTTTGGCTTCTTTCTCTATGCATTTTTTGGATTGTAATGCTTGGGCCTGGGCTGTAAATCTGTAGAAAATGTTTATAGATTTTCCCTCAGCAACACATTGAAACAGAGTCTCGTACTTTGCCGGCTGGTTGACTTCGCAAAAGCTGACCCCAGGGAGCTGAGCAGAACTGCCTTTGTAAAATGTTCAAGTGTAGACACTAAAATATATCCATAGTTTTGTTGGTTTAGTACTCTCTAGACTCACATTCAGCGTTACTTAAAATTCGTACTTCATTAACTTTAATTGCGGGATCGCGGCAATGCCTTCCCTCTTACGTATTCTTTTTTTAGTTTTTTAGTTTTACTGCCGAATCCGGAGATGAATCGAAAGGATCGAGTGTTAACCTTAACCTAATCGCTCTGGGGCTCTCTCTCTCTCACAAAACACCACACAATATACACAGTTTTTGGGAGTACAGTGTATCAGTACAGTATGCCATCATCGTCTGTTACGTAATCTCATATACTCGTACATGTACATACATATATATATTTTTTTGTTATTTACTTTTACTATTTTGCAATTGTTGCATAAACGCGGAACACCTCGTTGACCAGTCTTTCATTTTTGTTTTAACCTTTTTACACAATAATTTTGTTAAGTTTTCTTTTGGTTTTCTCATTGTTTTAAAATACACTTTTTCGGTTGTAAAATACATATATGTATATATATATATATATTCCATATCTATAGTGACACGCTCACTCTGCGCTCGTGACTATCCAATATCTGGTTTTAGGATCTAAATATGCTTTACGCTTTCGATTTTTTAGTTTAAAGGTTTTCTATACAAAATATTTTATATATTTTCGGGTTTTTTTTTCTATGTTTTACTGTTTTGGTTTTTCTTGGTTTCTCTTTCTCAAAAGTTAGACTAAACTGATTGAAGCATTTTTGACACATCGTATTGGATTTGGATTTTTCACGTTTTCATTAAGTATTGTTCAGTGCAATTGTCGCTTGGAAGCCAAACGGGATTCTGGAACTGGAAGGGCGCCACCTGGTGTGGGGATCGCCTTTTGGGATTATCCGTTTTGTGGCGCGTTGATCGGATGATATATCGATACATACAAATACGATAACATTCAAATGACACAAAGCACAAAGCAACACACGTACATATTGATATCGATAACGATTACGAATCGAAATCGTTAAAAGTCTCCCCCACAATCATCGAGAATAAAGCTAGAAAAAGGAGTCAAACTTTGTATTTACATAAACATTTATATATATATATATCAAGAGTTTTTGCTAAATCCTGTTGCTCCTTTTTTGTGTTTTTTAGAGAGCAATTGGTAAGGTCTAGCCTTGAATTTACTTTTTGGCAAAGTTTCCCTCCCATAGCCCCTATATTTTCCGTGCTTGTGTGCTGTGCAGTTGATTAGCTGCTTGTCATTTTGGTTTTTGGTTTTTCATTTTTCATTTTTTCATTTTTCATTTGTTTTTCTTTGCCTTAGCTATTTTGTTGTTGTTGTTCTCTGGATCACAGAATTTCTCATCACACAAACCATAATGATTGACCGATATGCACCTACTATAATGCTCTCGATCAACGTTGTATACTTTGATGTCGTGTCTCATATGCTGAGAGGGGGTGCTGTTGGAAAATGATAAGTCCATGGAAATATTTCGCTTTTCACATACTTTTTCTTTATTTAAAAATAATTAAAAATTAAACAAATCATTATAAACAAGAATGAGGAAATGATACACTCTAAAAAAAATAAGAAAGCAGCACACAAAAAAATTAAATATTTAACCAAATTTCTAGTCTAACGCAAAATAAAAGAGAAAATCCGAAAAATAAAGGTTGCTTAGCTAAAAGGAATTTATTTGATTTGATTAAATTAAAATTAATGAGGCACATAAAGAAGAATTTGTATGTTAAGTCGAAGGTAAATTTTTTTGTTTGTTTTCTGTTTTTTGTTTTTCTTTTCGATTGAGAGTAGAAATTTTGATTAAATTAGGTATAGATATCAAAATGTGTTCGTAATACTTTCCATCACTTAGGCAATGCATAAGATAAATTGTTTACATTAAATAATTACGTATATGCATTAAAAACATAGCAACAAAATTGCTTTCCTTTTTTTTTATTATTATTAAATACCGAATATCAAATGAAATCTAATTTAGGCATTTAGGCAATTTAATTTTTTGTTTAATCTGATTTCGAGTGGTGCTGTGAAATGATATTCAGACCTAGGCAACATTTAAATTACATTTAAAATTAATTTAAGAAAATAAGCATTTTTAACGTTTTGTGTTTTTGTTTTGTTTGTTTAAAACATATTTTGCACTTTACTCTTCTCTTGTATTTGTATTTCTATTTACTGCTGCTGATGTATCAAACTAATTATTTATATTAATTTACATTTACATATATTTTTTCTAGTTTTTAGCTTTTTGTTTTTTTTTTTTCCTTTCTTTTTTACATTTTCGTTTTGGCAGTGTTCACATTATGAAAACAAAAATATTATCTTTTTTTTTTTAATTAAATTAAATTACTAGTTTTTTTTTTGTAATTTTTTCTAGCGTTTGCTGTTTTTTGTAGTTGCTTTTGTTGTTGCTGCTTTACTAGTTAAAGAAATCTGCTTAGCTTTGGTAAATTGTACACAATTTTTGCTGTTTGTTCAGAACTTGCGGCTAAATGCTAATGGTGTGAATGGGGGGGAAAATGCGATCAGGCTATAGCTATAGCTTAAACTTACACTTAACAAGGCATTGAAACAAATCGAATTTGCAATTGAAACGATAACGACGATAACCATACGATAACGAAAACGATAACGGCGACAATTAATGGCAACACAAATATCAATCAGAATTAGAGAACTTGAATTTCCTTCCAACTTTGTGCATGTGTTGTGATGTTTTTGCTTTGTTTTTTTTCCTCTACTTATTTTTCCCTTTTTGTTTTTCTTTATTTCCTTTATTCCACCCCTCTCTGCTCCACGAATTAAGTGGTTTTGATTAGCGTTACGCAAGTTTTTCATCGTTCCTTGATGGCACACAGTTTCCGCTGAACTCCTACTCCTCTGACTCCTCTATTCCGCCTCTGGCTTTTCCTTCTTAAATCTCGCCTCACATGTGACGCTTCATGTGCAGCGCCAGGTGATCGGACCGCGAGAAGCAGCGATCGCAGTTGCGGCACTTGAATGGCTTGGCACCTGTGTGTTTGCGGTAGTGGCGGGTCAGCTCGTCGCTCCTCGCGAACCTCCATTCGCAGCCCTCCCAGGAGCACTTGTACGGCTTCTCACCTGCAACGGGAAGGGGAAGGAAAGAGGGAAACTCTTATTAAATAAGTTACATTCAAAATGGTAAGCGCTAAAATGCACTTGGAAAAATGATGATAAAATTTAATAATATATTTTAAAATTAAAAAGTACAACACCAGAAAGGATAAGCAATCAGTTTAGTTCATATACTGATAGTATATAAAATCTAGCCTAAGGAACACTTTATTTTCTCTCAGTGCCCTTTAGCTGCCGCAGTGGAAAGTGGCTGCAATTTCTCCGCTACTTCGCTGCTGCAGCACAAACAATAAAGCGCATAAATATGCGTGCTCTGGGAGGCAAGGGCTAGAGTTTGGGGTAACATTTTTTATTTAGCACGCGCCTGCCAAATGAAAAAACTTTTTCGACGCTGGCCCAGCTCCATGGACGAGAAATATGCATAAAGTAAAACACGAGTAAACAGAGGGCGGTGGAAAAGTGGTAGGCGAAGGGGCGAAAAACGCACAAACAGTCAGGAATTTAAGACAATTAAAAATGAAAAACTGTAAAATTAAAAGCGAACCCAAAACGAAACGAAACGAAATGATGCTAAAGTCGACGTCAACGTCGGCGTCGACGCCAACGGTGTGCCAAGCGCGGTCCTTTGCCAACATTTTTCATGCGTGCCAAAAGCCTCAAAGGATACAAGCGGAGTAGCGCCAAAAGCCAACCAGAGCAGCCAGAGCTGGATCCCGAACCAGGACCAAAAACAGAGCCAGAGCCAGAGTCAGAGCCAGAATCCGAATCAGAAACAGAGCCATGGCGAAAACCAGCCAGCCGAAAGGAAAAGGAAATGCAGAAGTTGTAATTTCACACAAAGCAAAAAAAAAAAAAAAAAAAAAAGAAAGCGTAGGGGAACCTAAAAATGCGAGGGCCAGAGCGAGAAAGACCTGAATAGAGCGGGGTGTAAAGCCGGCCATTGCCAGAAACACACTGAAAAAATACAAAAACCCCAAGCCCAAACCTCCGAAAAAAAAAAAATGGGAAAATTATTTCAGTTTAAAAGACAAACAGCAGCCGAGGCAGGAAATTGCCGCCGTTGCTGCTGCTGCTGCTGCTGGAGAAGCAACAAAAAAAAGAGAAAAAGAAAATGGGAAAATGGAGCGAGATAACCGGCAAGTAGACGACGACAGCCAAGAAAAATGCATAAAGCTGAGTGGAAAACTTTGTAACGCATACCACTCACACACATAGACTTGGCTTAAAACTTAATGCATGCGGAAATGTGTGATATTTCCGTGCTCAATTTCACATTATGCACTTGCGGCTTTTCCACCCATTTCCCATCTCCCCTCCAACCATTTTCCTTAGCTTTCCAACCCTTCCGTTGACCGGAGCTTGGACTTGCCGGCTGTCTTAATTTCCATTTGTTTACACTTGGCCATAGCTCAAGTTGCATCTGTGTCTGTGCATTGGCATGTGTGTTGGTGAGTTCTTGATAAATGTGTGTATTGGTGAATGTGTGTTTGTGAGCATCTTGGTAGAGGTTGAACTTGGCTTTAAGTTGGTTATGAAGTGATTGGTTGGTGAATGTGTTGGTGAGATCATTGGTGAATGTTGTTATGACTGTGTTGGTGGGTATGTTGGTTAGTTTTTTAAGAAATTTATTGAGTACTATATGAGTTTTGGTAAGGATGCATTGGTGAGTTTTTGGTGAATATTTGTTACCCTTTTTGATGATACTTTATAGATTAATTGCTTGATAATTGCTTAATCATCAAGCAGATTGAAATGAAATAACTTGTAGTTGTGGTTGATTTGATGATGCAAAAATTCATTTGATAAGTTGATAACTTTTTAATACCAGTGAGTATCCTAGGGACTAGTGAATGAGACTTGCACTTTGGCATGTTTTCAGAACTGTTTGGGAATCGAAGCATTGGCAATAAATAAGGGAATGCACACAAACACACACACACATATCGTTGTCTTTGGCACTTTGTTGGCCATACTCTTCTCGCTCTTTATCAGTTTTCCTCTGTTTTTGACTATTCCCCCAACCACCCCTCCGGCCCCATCCCAGGCAGTCCTCTGGCTGTGTAAATCAGCGTCAAATGCACAAAGTGCAGGCCCAGAGATCTAGGATGCGACCCCCAAGAGTCTCGTATTGAAGTGCATTTAAACGGCAAAAGAGCTGGCAGCGGGCGGTCGGCAATCCGAGGGGGCCAAAAGCAGCGATAAAGCACCCAAAATGGCCGTGTTATCTGGCCATTGAAGTGGCCCGGCAAAACGAAACGAAACCAAAAACGAAATGAAACCGAAACGGGCCAACAACAAACTGCCTGAGATGGGCCAATAACTGACTAATTGGATACCCTTTGCCGGGGGATTTACAAATAAAACCAGATAAAGAATGAACAGTATGTGGTAGATATTTGAAAAGAAGGGTTAAGGCTTGCATTAAATTTATTTTTATGGCCAAAACTATAAATATTGTAAATTAATATACCAAAAAAGGATTATGTTTCTATATATAAACTAAAATAAAAAACAAAGTTACTAGCCTTTAGTATACCCTTTCCCTACCCTTTTTGCATATACCCTACGGACCTATCCCAATAGTTGGCTATTACTCAAGCCCTGGCTATTGGCCGTTACTGGACAGAACTGGCCCAAAAGTATGCAATGGCCGTGCATGTGGAACAAGATGGTTTACCCGCCCAGTGCATTGGGCAAACGGGCATCCCTTTAATTAGTTTTCATGGCAAGTCATCTGAGCTGACATTGTTAGCCGCGATGCAGCCCGGACCGTGGACCTGGCCAAAAAGCCAGCCAATCGGCAACTGGGTTAAGCGATTTTCGCCTGCTTTTATTTCCTCCAATCGCGCCGAGACGTCGCCATGTTAATTTATTGAGCCGAACGCAGTTAAAACTTAACCTCAGCCGTTTGTCTGTATATATATATATCTCTATATATATATTGATAGTTTCAGCTCCGATTCTGTGGCATTGGCAGGCCATAAAGCCTGCACTTGTAAATTGTTTAAAGGCAATAAGGAGGCGGGCAGCCACGAAAGAGAGAACGAGGACCGCTTAGCAAAAAGGAGAAGGAGCAGCGAATGGAGCCAGTTAATATTTTATAAATTTCACTTGGCTCGGGGTTTTAATTTCAGTCGGCAATAGGAAAGAATGCACCGGCGGGACATGCGATGTTGGAGTAAGGCGGGGCGAGAAAATGGCTACGGAATCCCAATCCCTTTTCCTCGGCAGTTGGTGGCTTGCAGCTTTTTATGGAGCTGCTCGATGCCTTCTCGGCTTTTGCACTCAACACAATTTTTATGGTCTGTTTGCGTCTTTTCACTTGATTGCACTTGTAATCTTTTCTTAACGGCTTCGGCGTCTCGGAGTCCTGCTTTTCCTGCTCTTTTTCCGCAGCTTTTCCCAGACTCTGGTTGCATGCCACTACGGCATTTTTATAGCCCGCCTGCGTTTAACTAATTGAAATCGTTTGTGGCCAAAGTTTGCGATGAGGATTTTATTTCGGCCGAATGTCGCTTTAATTGATATTCAATTGTTGCGATATATATATGGTTTATATGTATATGTATGTGTGGGCCAATGTGCTTGAATGGCTTTCTAATTAAATGGCGACGGGCGACGGGCGACATGGAAATGGAAATGGTCGAAAAGCCACAGGAGGAAACGCAGGAAGTGCGCTCGAAAACCCAAATCAAATTAATTTCACTGTCTGTTCCGCCCGACAACCCGGCGAAAATTGTTCAAGGACACACTGTTTGGCAACTAAATAATAGCTCGTCATCAATTATTCGCATGCGTCCGCTTTTCAAATGCGACAACATTTAAAGAATCCTCCTCATCTAGGCGCGACGCTCTAATGAAATTCTCCTCCGCTGAGCTTCATTTGCCATGCAAAAAACGTAATTCATTAGGTTTTCTTTAATTTAAAAACCTCGCCTGGTCTCCATGGTATCATTAAAATAATTACGTTTTCCTTTTTTTCCCCCTCCTATCCTACACACCCAGCTCCTTTCATAACATTCTTTCTATTTTCCGCCCCAAGCATTTTTTCATTTTGCCCCGTTTTTTGGGGCCAAATCAAATGTTTCAATCTTATCGTCGGGCCAACACCTTGGCTTTTGATTTATTGGTCCCACCGGGTTTCCCTATCTGCCCTGCGCTGCACTTGCCAGTAGTTCAACATGTGTAATTAATTAAAAACTCTTCAGGTTCAACGAGAAACTATGGAAGTTTGTCTGCGAAAATTAACACTTAAAGCTGTTCAGGCAACAAAACAATGAACTAAACAAAGGGCGAGAAGGGATGGATGACTTGTATTTAGTTGGTTCTGTGTGTGTTTTGTGTTCTGGCCAAGATAAACTGAAAATTATGAGCAAAAACTTTGACTATTATGGATTTTTATTGAACCAAAAGCTTTTGGCTTTCTTGCGGCTAAAACAAACAACAAAGGCTATATAGAGGCAGCAGGTCCGGAATTCAATGTTAATTAAAATGTTAAGCTCCGGCGCCCGGGGCCAAAGTAAATTTATAAATTGAGCAATATCCTGCGGCTGTCACAGAAAGTTGTTGCTGTTGACATTTGCCACAAAGTGAAAGAGGAAGGGCCTAAGCCTTGAGCTGCACATGAATCTTGCTTATGTCCTGATGATGGCCACGCCTTCAAGGGGGCCAACGAATGTCGCTCGACCAGGAACAGAGCAACTTTGACCAACATTCGGCCACTGGACAAACAAACCCACTCGACTATACATACACGTACGAGCCATATATATAGCCATATATATATAGCCATTGTCGACTTGAGTGAGAAATATCCGAAGACCGAATTTCATTTGCCGACAAAACATGCTGGGCTTGCAAAGAACCAAATGGGACTTTGGGCTGAGGCAATGCCAACACTTGCATGCATAAGTAAACAAATCCACACACACACACAGCGGGCCATATAATACCCCACAAACTCATTCTCCCGGCTAGGGTATATTCGATTCGGAACTAAATGCGGCACAATCGCCTTCAGAAAGTCAGCCATCTTCGGTATGAATTGTTTGGCAACGGCATTGCAAAATCATTTGCCTGGCATTTGAGTGTGTGCCAAATGATTTGTTGGTCCCGCCCCTTCGGTTCCCCAAGACAAAAACTGACAAGCCAAAACAAAGAATGAATCTACCAAATTCATAAAGCGGAGCTACAGAAAAGTCTTCAAACTGCACCAAAGGAAAAACTGATATAAACTCAAATTAAAAGCTTAAATAGTAAAATCGGAGACCATAAAAAACTTTAAGGAAATCTATTTTCTCAGAAGCATGATAGCGGAAATTATGTTTTTCCGAAATAAATAACAAATAATGAAAAACTAGCTAACAAATTTTCTTTTCTGTGCAAAAATTTTAACTGAATGCGCACAAATGTTGTTCGCCAACAACTGCAAACTGATTTTTTTTGTTGGTTTTCTGCCCAGTTTTTGGCAGAACTTGAAATGGATTTTGGTTTTCTATTTTATGGGTTAAGTGTTCGCTGGCAAAGCTCTTGTGAGCGCAAACACGCACACCCAGCCATGTGGAGCACAAATCAATAGATTTGCTCTCTCGTGTTCGAATGTGGTTGTAATAAAATTACATTTCAACGCTCACTAGATGTCTGTGTGTGTGTGTGTGCCTGTGACCAATATTTCATGTTTGAATTATGCGATTTTTATTGAAATTTCAAGCATCGTCTGCTGTCAGGCGATGAGGTTGTTTTTGGTGCCCAATTGCCGGTGCCCAAACCTCCGGATGATCCTGCCCCTCCTATATCATCCAGCCCATTGCATGTTTTTGCCTGGTTTTACCGCCGCCGCGACTGCAAGTCTGTGGACGCAGAATGGAGGATGGAGTATGAAGGACTCTGGACAAAGGACGGTGTCGGGCAAACAATGCAACATGTCACTCCTGCCTGTCCCAGGGAATTCTGTCGGGGACATTGTTGTCGCAGGTCTCTGATTTATTGGGCCAACAGGACGGGGGCAGGTGAGTTTTGCACGGTGGCATGGCATGGCAGGCAGTTGAGGTTTTTCCGACCCTCTACCCCTAGGCACACGCTTTTAATTGCCGACTGTGGCAGTTGGAAATTCGGATCTGTCAGTTGCAAACGCACATACCATACATACACAGACATCTCACCGCATTCAGTTCATTCATATTTTTGGTTGCCCTGTGATTTCCCCCAACTTTCCACTACCAACTCACCTGTGTGCGTTCTTTGGTGGGCCTTCAGGTGCGAGCTCTTCGTGTAGACTTTTTTGCAGCCCAGAAATTGGCACTTGTGTATCCGTCGCTTGGCGTCCGGGCTGTGATCGCTGTGATGTTGGCGCGGGTGATGCGATTTCGAGGAGCCTGTGGGTTACCAAAGAAAAAAAATAACCGAAATCAGGGTTAAGGGGTTTTAAAATGGGTCAAGTATTTGCCAAACTCACCATTCGATGACTTTTCAGCCCTTTGCGAGAGCACCTGTTGCTGCGATATCGCTGGGTTGCTGCTGGTATTGCTGTTGCTGCTGGTGGTGCTGTTGCCGCTGGCATTGCTGCTGCTGTTGCTGCTACTATTGGCGGCTGCACTGAGCACGGCAGCAACATTGGCATTGCCATTGTTCTGCATTTGGATGACTCGGGCTAGACTGATTCCAGCTGCTCCTGGCTTGCCGTTGGCCGTTGTCAGGCGGACGATGGTGCTGCGCGGAATGTTGCTATGTGTTGGCTGGTCGCTTGAGCTGCTGCTGCTGCTACTGCTGTTGCAGCTACTATTGCTGCTGCTGTTGCTGCTGGTGATGCTGCTATTGCTGCTGGTACTGCTGCTGCTGCTGCTGCTTGTGCTCTTGGGCGAGTTGCTGCCGTTGTTGCTGTGGCCAAGGGCCTGTGGCGATATGCTCAAATGCTGGACGGCCAGCTGCTGTTGCTGCTGCTGCAGTTGCGTCATTGTGGGATTGCTCTGACTGGTGAAACGCAGGATTGCTGTAGTGGGTGTTGAGTTGCTTGCTTGTGGATGTTGCTGCTGCTGTGACTGTCGCTGTTGCGGTTGATGTTGCTGCTGTTGTTGTTGCTGCTGTATCAGAGCCGCCAGATCGTTGGCCTCCAGTTGTTGGGCATAATTGTGGCTTCGGAGGCTGGATTCTGGCGATGAGGGCGGCGTGAGCGTGGGCAGTACGAAGTCCTGGACATGCCCCAAGTGCAATCTCGCACTTCCTCCCGGGTGACTCTTGGCCTGGACCACACGCACTTTAATGGCCGGCGCCGAGCTATTGCGGGAACTCACTGTGATGGTGCTGCCACTGCCCAGACTGCTCAGCGGACTGGCAATGATGTTGCTTGTGCTGCTGGTGTTGCTATTGCTATTGCTGGTTGGCGTCATGTTGCCCGCACTGCCGATGCTGGGATTGGGTGATATGGCCGATGGCGGTGCCGCCAGCAACGCACTCAGCTTATCATCACAACCAACCTCATCGTCCTCCTCGTCGATCCTCTCCTGTTTTACCAGAACGGAACAACTCAGCGCTTGGGAGCCATTGCTGTCCCAGGATATACCCGAGCAATTGGACGAGACGGAGGAGGTCGTCGAGATCGTATCCAGGTGCTGCTCCTTGATCTTCAGCTCTTCGAGCAGGCGGGCGGGTGTGGAGAATATATCCCACGCTTTATCCAATTTGCTGTGTATCTTCTTCTGCAGCTTTGGCTCATCCCGCAGATAGCGCTCGAGTTCGTAGCAATTCTATGGTGTGGGAAGAAAAAGAGAGAAAAGTCGAAAAGTTCATGAAAGTCGGTCCATTAGGGCATTAGGGGGTTAATGGATGCTATGGCCCAATTCAATTTGCCTGGCTCCCGGTACACATTGCCGGAATTTTCGAGCACATTAAGCCGATAATTTAGGGACGCTGCCCGCGGCCAGAAACATAAACATAAATTTCAAATTATGCTTTATGCCTGGCGCAATTACAGGTAATAATTTTGCGCATTGAATTTATGGCCAGTTGCATACTTTCGGGCGCCCGCCGTCGCTTAATGGAGGCGACAATTAAGTGCACATGAAAGAGGGCTGCAGGTGAGTGGGCTGCTCTTGATGGGAGCTACCTGTTTGGTGGATGGTTACATCACTGGGTAAGTGGGTGATTGGGTGGCACCGCCGGCGGGCGGCTTCTTTGATCTGAGCTCCAGTCGAGCGGACTCATTTGGCAACTCGTTGCAAGTGGTGGTGCGCAGGGTAAACAGCAAACTGCAAACAAGCCCCCGGCACTTGCCCCGCCCCTTTGATGCAACGCTTTTCAATATATGTGAAAGGTGGAGCGGGAAACTTTTTGGGGAAATGCTTGAGGGGGTTCGCATGTGACAGAATGGGCTGTTTTTACCATTTCTCTCTCTTAAAGTCACCCACAAATTGAACACATGAACGGCAATTTGCCTGGCCATTTGTATAGAACCTTTTCGGGGAACGGAATTCCAATTTGATTGGGGGGGTGCCAACAAATCTTATTAATCGCAAAGCGAAGAAAACCAATGAGACGGAATAAGCAGCCGCATCAGCCAAAAACAGGACGAAAAAGAAAAGGGTCGAGGAAAGCCCGCTTTGACCATTTTTTCGGAACTCACACATGCCCGCCGCGTAAATCACTTTAAGTGTTATTTCAAGAAAATAATTGCAACACATAAATTTCCACCAACCCTTTTTTGTCCTCCTCACCCACCCGAAAGTCTCGCACAAAGCAGCAGAGAACAGGGAAAACTATAATGGTTTATGAATCGGGATAATGGCTGAGGGTCCTAGGATCGGGCTTAGACTTTCGGTTTTGGCCTCAACACATACAACATATGATTAATGGGCGGCTGATGCTGCTCCTGCTGCATTTCCCTCCCTTCTCTCCTCTTTTATTTTCACTCAGACAATGCAGGCGGCGGGGGCAATCTTTGAGCAGAAATCTAAATAAAATGTTACATGCGCGCAATGCAAAAGCAATTTGATATATTGTTTCGGGGTTTTTTTGAGGGGCTTTGTTGTTAGGGGGTGGGTGTGTGGCAGGTGGCCAAGGGAAGTACTATCAAAAATGGCATTTTGATTTATGCGCTGCCGCTTTCGCTGCTCCCGGCGATGCTGCAAACAAATCACGTGAGCCAACAGGCCAAAGATTAGACGCGACTTTCAAATTGCTGGCGGGGTAGCAAGGACTCTCGTGCATATACACCCACCTTGAAGCTAACTGATTGATGGCCAGCGGGTGTGCAGTTCAGGTCCAAAGCCAATTTATAAAAATACAAAACAAGATAGAAAAACAATGGCCAGCAACAGACTTATCCATGTTTCTGCAGGTGGCAACAACCAACAATATGGCCAACACTCGCCATGTTAAAACACAATTATCAAGCTAATTATGATGCGTTATCTCACGCTCGGCAATTAGTATAATTAGTGCTGTTGCCAGGACGGCTGATGATGCTAGTGTTGTTGGGCTAGTTAGAATTTGGCTAACAACTAAATGCAAGGATTTTAATTAATTTGAAAACCGCAGGCAGATATTGCACGCATTGCGGGTGCTGAAAAAGTTGGTTTTGCTAAATTCGAATTATTGTCGATAAGTGCAAAATCTAATTGCAACCACTTGCTAACCGTCAATTTGATATGCAGAACCGACTTTCATTCGGCTTTAATATACAAAATACAAATGCGAATTTGCGTTAATAATTCATGTTTGGGCAATCTCCGGCTAGGAAGCAGAGATTAAATGAAAATAATCAGACTAGTAGTGGGTATTATGGGAAATAATTTTCGGTAGCTATGTTGAATAATAACCGTAATTCCCGTAAACAACGTCTATATATGTATATAATTATGGATATTGACGGGTTTCCTACTTAAGCCCTTAACAACAGAGAGAGAAGAACACTTAGCAGCAGATTGAAGAGGGCAAAAGTTGCCTCTTTGTTGTAATCAACATAATTATTGTTGGCCCAAACTTCTGCGAATAGCAGGAAAACATTTTTCCCTCATGTGTGTGTGTGTGTGTTGTGCGAAGTGCGGGGAATAAAACTTTTCTACTTTTCTTAGAAAAACTTTTTTTTTTGCTTTTGCTCATTTGTGTTTAATAGAAATTTATTTGCCCGCCCCCGCAGGATGTGTGGAAGTATAGGGGTTTTTTTCCCTATACCCTATACCCCTGTATATATATATATATATATATAAGGGTGACAACAAAACACTTTTGCGCACTTTTTGCCAGCAATTTATGTTGCTCCACTTTGGGCCACATAAAAATCTTCATTTCCGTGGCGTTTATTTGCCGTCTGCCTTATGTTTCGTTTTCTATTTCTATTCCAGCTTCTGTTTCTGATCCTAAATTGTGGTTCTCCATTTCCCATTTCCTTCTTTTTTTGTTTTTGCACTTTTTGGTCTTTGCCGGAATTGTGTTTTAACTCTGGAGAGCTGCTGGTTTATGCGCTGCACTTAGGCGATGTGGTGACAGCTGCGGTTATTAAAACCTGCAAATTGTATTTATATCCCCGGGCAAAGTGGAACCAAGATTTTGACAAGCCGGAGAGAGAGTGAGGGGGGAAAAAAAACTGAATAGACATATTTCGGCATAAATTTATTGGCTAACAGATTACCCAGACAGAGGAGAGATTCTGCAGATACAGCGAGGCTGAGTGAGGGAGGAATGATATCCCCTCCCCCAGCCGTAGCATACTTTTAGGCTAAACAAATTATACAAGAAGAAGCACTGAGCTGGCTGAGCCACCACAATGGAACTTCACAAGCTATGCAAAAGGCGGAAAAGGCAGGAAAAAAAAAAATATAACCGAAACGAAATCCTTAAATTTTTGCAATTATCTAACCACAAATTGTTTGCCTAGTCTAGAGCATTTGAGTTCTCAAGAGAAATAGAGGACGAGAACTCTCATTGTGTGTGGGGAACGAGCAAATAAAATTTTGAGCCAAACCGGATGAAATGAAATGTTTGCCCAAGGACCAAGCGATCCAGGACTTTGGTGGCAAATTGAATTTGGCCACAGCAAATAGAGTCTATGTCATTTTCCCTCGCTTCGGAAAAGTGTGCATGTGTGTGCGTGTGTTTGTGCCCACACATGCTAATGTAAAATAAAAGCATGCGATTAAATTTAATTATCTTGCATGTTTATTAAAGTCCACAAATGCGATTTGGCAGGAGGGGGATACCAGGAATAAGAATAGGAATGGTATGGATGGCAGGGAATATCGCACAATTGGGAGAGATTTGGAGTATTTGTCTGGATGGCATACGAAACACAGCCCCAACACACACGCATTGAGATGGAAAATACCGGGGGCTATCCCCGCGGGAGGCCACGCCTTCTGGACGACAACGTCTTGGTGGGCGGAACATATTTAATTATGTGTGTAATTGAAAAAGACGCAACGGCAGTTAAGGAACATACGCATGCCTCAAGGAAAAGCCGAGTCGGCGAGAAAAATCAAGCCGTGACTATTATGCGGCACATGTCTGCGAAGTGTCCTGGATGTCCCGCTGCGATTTCTGTGTGTGTGTGTGTGTGTGTTTATGCTAGTGTGAGTGTCTTCTCGGTGCGTGTCTGTGTATTAGAAAGACATTAGCAGACGCCAGCGGGACGGCAATCGCCCTGCGGTTACACAAAAATCTTCAACCAGAAGCCGAGAAGCAAACGCCAAGGACCCAGGACTCTGGATGATGATGGCAAGGAGCATCTGCCAGTGCCGAAAAGAGCGCAACACAAATACAATTTTTGGCTTCTCCTCTGCTCCGCCTGCATTATGTCATTTAATGAGCCATAATTCCAGAGAGAACGCAAAGCCCTCATGCCCTCTCTCTCCCCCCATGGGAGAAATGTTCGCCGAAAATTTTTCCGTTTTCCATTTGTGTCTTTCCGCGCCTGCCTTCCATTTTGAAAGTTTTAATGAACGAAACGTAATGAAATTATGCCGACAATTAATGCCGCCCGAAGTGGAAACGAAGAAAGCACTTTAAGGCGGCGATGTTACATTAAAGTTGATAGCTACTTATCAGTCTGAAATGAAGATATTTAGTTGATATTTCCAACCAATAGTTTAAGACCCTAAGTGCTTCCCCAAACAGTGTAATTATCGCAGGTGTTATATTACCTCAAATTTCTGACTTTCTGTCAGCCTTTTTGCCATATTGCAATAAATGCCCAGCATATTTATATCTATACACACATGCCTAGAGATTACACACAGATTGATACGTTTCGTGTGTCGTTCAGATTGCAACTATTGTTTTCAATTTACGTCCTGCTGTGCAGCTTCCTCGCTTCGCACCCTGAGATGGCATCCTGGTGGCGATGGTGATGCAGCTCCTTGTTATCTGGCTGTCAGCTAAGTAACTTCTTAATACGAGGGTGTGTGGCAAAGCAAGGCAAGGCAAAGCAAGACGAAAGCAGAAAGTAGCTGCAATCTCTGGAGTTGTAAGTGCAGCAGCAACAATATCAGCCAGTCACTAGTCACTCGATTTGGCAATAACAATAAGCCAGACAAGGAGCTGTGGGCCAGCGGGTGTCTGATGGCTGATGTCTTCTGGCTAAGAGGTGACAGACGGGCTAAGGAGGGAGGCAAGGACGCAGCAGGATAATTGAATTATTGGCATTATCACTGCATTTGCACTTACACCCAAACATGCTGCCCATACACCACCGCTGCCAGTCGCCGCCAATCTCGAATCCTCCTCCTGCTTATTCAGCCACATTACAAAGTGT